AATTTTTTTAATTCCCGTCTTAAGGAAAGTTGCCTCCACATAGTAATAATTATTTATATATTGTAACAAATATATATGCTATGTTACATTAAAGGTTTATAATGAAATAACATATTTATCTAAAGTTGTTTAGGACAATGATTCATGCTTTAGAGTTGTTACCAAATCTTCTAACTTGCGGGTATGTAATAACTCGCTAGCATGGACACCTTCATGTTAAAGCCAAAATATTTCTAGTTTCTCAAGCATGTTTAGAGCTTCAGGGCATGAAACTTTTTGCATTTCTGTACTATCATCCTCAGAATTATTTCTTTTCTCTTATTGTCTAATTGCAGCAATGATTTCTTATTCAATTAGAGCATATATGACTTATTGCTCATTTGGATGATCGAGGAAAACATTAATATCTATTCGATTAGTGTAGTGAAGTTGTCGAATCTGATCACTCAATTCTACAATGACTCTTCTATTCTCCTCATTCAGTTCATTTGTAATTTGCAATTCATTGACATCGGAGGCCCTAATTTTGTAGTGCTTAAAAGAATTGATAATTGTTTGTGGTTTCACTTCAATTGACCATATAGCAACTGCATTTACAATTCCATCAAGGATACTTATCTTTTCTGGTTCCAATATATGATCTTTTATCCATTTCAAAAGTAAGCGATTAAAGCACTGTTGATAATAATCTTTGAAATTTCTAATAATGCCTGCATCACATGGCTGGATTTTGGAAGTGCTAGTCGGTGGTAGGAACAGAACAATTGGATGATGAAGTGGAGGGAGATTCTCCTTTTTTCCATGTGCGGTACAATTATCCAATACAAGCAAGACATTGCTATCCAAACGGCTATCAAATCACTTGCGCAATTCCATAAAAAACAAAGATGTCATCCATGCATTTGAATTCGCTTGATACTTGCAATTGAGATTATCACGATTAAAATTATTAAAGCATCTTGGATTAAGAAACTTATCGATGACCCAAAGTGGAAGTTTGTCAGAGCCATAGCCATTGCAACAAACAACAATTGTAATCCTTTCTTTGTTTTGCTTTCGGCCCTCCAACTGCTTTGTTGCAAGATAGTTATCGACTTACATTCAATAAAATAAGCTAGTTTCATCCATATTATAAATGTCCTTCCAAGCCCATTTGCCTAATTCCTCTCTTATTGATGGCAAACTAGATTCAATTTTCTCCATATTCACTGAACAACTTTCCCCAAAACGAGGAATGAATTGCATGTCGTTGCTTGAACTTTTTCAACCATCCATTTGAAAATTCAAACGAGGTAGCTTTGGGATAGAGTTTCCTTAGAAAAATATTTCCCTTCTCTTTTAACAATTCACCATTCATATTGGCATGCTCTTGATGGCATACAAACCATTCATAGAGGCCATACTCCATTGCTGGGTACTTTACCATCTTTGAATGTTTTGTGTCTGGGTTCAACAATCCTTCCTCTTGAAGGAGGTCAACTGATCATTTGAGTGTCTTAGATATTGCTGCTTGTGATACCTTAAGACCACAAGTATCTTCTAACCACTTCACAAGATTTTTTTGCTTCCAAATAGGGTTTGATTCTTTCATTTTGCACAACTAAAAACGAATACTTTCGATCAATTGAGTTTGTGTATTAACTTTGGGTGACATGATTGATTTGCTAGAGGAAGAAGAAAGGTATCACATGAATTGGTGGAAGATTTTATTGAAAACTTGATTGAATAAGTTGAAACATAACAACCCTATTTATAGCAGGCTAATCATAATTCTACTAGCATAAGTAAATAAGAAATCCTAATACTACTACTGAAACAATGAATTGAAATCCTACTAATACTAAAACATGAATTGAAATCCTAGTACTACCAAAACATGAATTTTTAAAACAGGAAATCAAGTAATATTAAAAGTAAATAGGAAATCCTAATACTACCAAACTAATGAATTGAAATCTTAATACTACTAAAATATGAATTGAAATCCTAATTCTACCAAAACATAAATTATAAAATAAGAAACAAGTAATATTAAAAGTAAATAAGAAATCATAATACTACTAAAACAATTAATTGAAGTCCTAATACATACTACTAAAACATGAATTATAAAATAAGAAATCAAAATAGTTTTTTTTTTTTTTTTTTTTTTTATAACTACACCTCCATTAAGTTATAACCTCTTTATCGTAATAAATTATTTTGATCCCAACATTATGACTATAGAGAGGTTTTACACACACATATATATGTGTGTGTGTGTGTGTGTGTGTGCGCGCGCGCGTGTGTGCATGTGTGTGCATGTGTGGTTGGACTCTTTTCTCTCCTAAGTTAGCTTTTGAATGTGATTTCGAATCCTTAAGAGTTGGCCTAGTGCCTAGTGGTCAAGAAGGTTTGCTCCATTCATTGACTTTTTGGGTTCAAACCACCTTAAGGTTATCTACTACATTTGTTGTTTACTTGAAACATTTGGCTTGTAGACTGTTCAATGAGCCTTAGAGATTAGTTGAGGTACGTATAAATTGACCTAGACACCCCGATTATTAAAAAAAAAAAAATGTGAGTCCTATTTATAGTTATTTATCATCGCCAAGATGTTGGTGGGTTGTTATGGTGTATATATGTATTTGAACACTCTCTTCATTCAAATTGTAATACTAATTTAAGTAAGAAAATTAGAGAAATTCAAGCCTTTATTAGGATGTAGCTATTGACTTGTTCATATAAATAAAGATTAACCAAATGATATGATTATTATTTATTACGGTGTAGTTATTGACTTGTTCATATAAATAAAGATTAACCAAATGATATGAAGTAGTGTTGTGAATTTGAAGTTATTAACTAAATCATGTACTTAGATGTTGAATCTCTACTTTAGTAGAAATTGCTTTATGGTGGGGACTTGTATAAATTTTCCAGATAAAAGAAGTGGGTACAAAGCAATTACCCTTGTTTTAAGGCAACTATAAATCACCTCATGAAAGGTGATGCCCAGGCCATCATGTTTCTTAGACATAATCAATGAAGCTTATATTTTATATACATAACATAGAAATGATTTCATAATAATAATAATAATAATGAGAATTCATGGTGGAGGTATCTGCATCTACAATGCAGCTTCTCACTAATTCAGGAGCTTCAAATGTGAAGCAACCTGTACTGTACATACTTTTTTTTTTTTTTTTTTTTGATATACCTTAACTAATCATTTAGGGTTTTAAAGTTAACGATCAGATAAATCTCTATTGATTACCTTTTATTAGTAGTGTAGAAATTCGAACTCAGAATCTCTTCAATAATACACTCCAAAATCTCAAACGAACAGTCAAACTACCTAGAGGTAGGTTTACATTACCACTTACAAATACAGTAATTGAATATAGACTACACAGTACAGTCCCATTGCTTCGGGGTTTAAGAAACTAGGGTATTAACCATAGTTACTGTAGTTGGTTAAATTTCCAGGATAGAATGATAGTAACACGGGGTAAGAGCTCGATTAACATAAGCATTCTTTACCGAAAACACGTTTATTAATATCTATTTACAAGCATGTCTATTTATAAATCAATCCAAAACTTTGAAGTGGGTGTGGTTGGTTTCACTTTCATTCCTTTTATTAAATGTTACCTATTTCATTATTCATTCATACCAACCATGAATCAATTCCTTTTACTCATTCCTTGTGTATTAAAAAAAAGAAAAAGGGCGCTGTTGAAAAATCTGATATAATTGCAGAACAGCCCTGCAAACTCTGTATGTATGGTTTGTGGGGACTCCTTTAGATGATTCTTCTTCTTCTGCCATCTTCATTGAACCCCACAAAATTGCAACCACATCCGCATCCCCATTCCATCATCCTCCCACAAAATAAGGCATACGTATATTTCCATTCTATAGAATTTTTCAAAACTCTGTTTCGACGTAAGAAAAACGTGTTATGATGTGTGGTGAGCAATCTGTTTCTTTGACTAATCAGTAATATGACCTTCTAACCATACAAACAAATTTGTATTAACAAGAAATTGAAAATCAACAAGACTTAATGAAGAAATTTTGCAGATATTGATAATGAGGACATAATTTTGGGTTAAGGACTAAAAGTCTAAAACAATAAAAAGGGTAATTAGGTGTCCAGTCTGTTCATTTTGACTTTTTAATCTTTTTCACCAATCACGCTGGTTTACTCTGTCCCCTCTTGTAATCATAATCTTTTATATTATAATATTATTAGTGATTATAAATTAATGTTGACTGAAAAAGTTGATAAAAAAATAAAAATTTAATTTAAATACTGTTAAGTTTCTGATTATTTGTCACTTTCAAACTCAAGAGAGGAACAGCAAAGTTTCTAATGCTTGTGTTTCACCGATGTATATATAATTTGTGAAGCATTTTGCTTGCTCATTCATTACCTAACACTGACGACAACTCCATATCTTCTTACCCATTTGTGAATGGAATAAATTAAATCAAAATTCCCACAATGGAAAGCCTTCAAAAACCACTTCAAAATGGAGTCTTTGACAATGTGTGTGATCTGGGTGTGTGTGAATGGGGTTTTTTTTCAAATGGGGTTTTGTTTTTTCTCTTGTAAACATTGCTAGGGTTTGATTTTGGTTCATTTTTGGAGGAAAAAGAGGCAACTTTGTTGAAGGAAGTGACACGACCAATCAGGTTTGGCTTTTGTTTTGTGTTTGTTAGATTTGTTTTTGAGTTTTATTGGGGTCATTAACAGTGAAAGTTTTGATCTTTATTGGTTGTTTGCTTGATCATGTCAAAATGATGGGGAAATGTATGTGTCGGTTGTATTGGTATTAGAAATATGACATGCTTTTTCTTTTGAATATGATATTCTTTTAATTATTATTATTTAATAAAAGTTTGGTAGTCGGTGGAGTTGATTAATGGCGAAGTCTGTGCTTTCTTTAGCATCTTCCCTTTGTTTGTTTTTTTTTTGGAAGTTAGCTGTGATTCTAGGTTTGCTTTTTCTTATTGTTATTGTGTTTTGTTCTGTCTCCATACTTGTTTTGGCACCTGTAATAAAGCCCTTCGTTTCGCCCTGCCCTTTTCCTTTTTTGCTGATTCTTGCATGGTTTAAATAAAATAGTATGTCATGTTATCCAGTTCTGGTTGTGGGTTTTGTGTGAAACTTGTTGGGCATTCATATTCAATGTAAAATCTAGGTTTGTGTTGTTGCCCCTTAACAGAAACCTTTAGAAGAGAGTACAGGCTTAAACCGCATAAGTTTAGAATACCAAATCCAAAGCTGGAATCCTTTTATTTCACATAACTTAGCCATACAACGTGGTTTCACATCATGGCTGCTGCTTAGGTTTTGCTTTCTTTATTGCAGGGAAATTGGCATTTTGAGAGATGGCATCTGATCTTAACAAAACTCTATCAAAGACTTATTTTGGTTTGGAGTTGTGGGTACTAATTGTGATTGTTCTGGTGGTGGCCTTTGTGGTCATCCTTGGGGTATCGCTATGGCTTACTTTTCGAAAGAAATCCAGAAAGGCTAATGACATGCTTCCTGTGAGACAATTTCCTGTTGTTTCAGAGGAAATAAAAGAGATAAGAGTCGATCAAGTTTCATCAAACAATGGTGGTTTACCCACTCTCAAAGATAAATTCAATGATAGGGAATCTGAGAAGGTATTGATCCCACAGGAAGAAAATGGTGATGAAAGTGTCCAGTCAGGCTCCTTTAATAATTTAGAGAAAAATGTGGCAGGGTCTCAGCCGGCTGAAGAAGGAGGCACTGGACAGGTGTCTGCCTACAGGCCATCTTCACATCCTTTGACTGCCCCCTCACCCCTGTCTGGCCTGCCTGAATTTTCACAACTGGGCTGGGGTCATTGGTTCACCTTGAGAGATCTACAATTTGCAACCAACCGGTTTTCCAAGGATAATATTATTGGTGATGGGGGATACGGAGTTGTTTATCGTGGTAATCTGATTAATGGGACTCCTGTTGCAGTGAAGAAGCTCCTCAACAATCCGTAAGTTACATATGAGCTTATTTCAGTGCCTATTCAATATTTAATCTTTTCTTTATTCCATTAGACTATTTATTGCTTGCGGATTTTTGTTGGTTATTAAATTGGTTTGCTTGTAGAGGACAAGCTGATATGGATTTTAGAGTGGAAGTTGAGGCTATTGGGCATGTGCGGCATAAAAACTTAGTTCGACTTCTGGGGTACTGTATCGAAGGAACACACAGGTACTTCATCCTTTTATGTTCTCTCATTCACTGGGGAACTTAAAGTAGTTTTCCTTCCCTTCAGTTTCTTTGTCTACAGTAGGTAAGGGATGGAATGGCGCAATGTTGACAGTGACATCATTAGTTTCTGTTAATATGGTTTAAGAAAGAAAGGGTGAGAATTTGTCCTGGCCTTTTGTTGATATGCCTGTCTAATTTGTGCATAAAAATTTCAGGTTATTGGTATATGAGTATGTCAACAATGGTAATTTAGAGCAGTGGCTTCGTGGAGATATGCATGATCGTGGATATCTGACTTGGGAGGCTCGCATGAAAATTCTTCTTGGTACTGCTAAGGCGTAAGTCCCACTCGTGTACATTTTTGCCATTACTCCATCATAGTTTTATCCACATTATGAATATTTCTTGTGTGTCTCACATGGTTTCATGTTGCAGGCTGGCTTATCTCCATGAAGCCATTGAGCCAAAGGTGGTGCATAGAGACATAAAATCAAGCAACATATTGATTGATGACAACTTTGATGCTAAGATATCTGATTTTGGTCTAGCCAAACTATTGGGTGCTGGAAAAAGTCATATTACAACTAGAGTTATGGGAACCTTTGGGTGAGGTTTTTATTATTCCGTCTGTACACTTGGTTTCCTACAACTCTAATAGTGCACTATTTCGTTTATTATTGCCTCTTTACCTAAACTTGATTGATTATATTTTTAAAGAAATTAAATGTCCTTGGTTTGGAAATAATCCTTTTGTTTTCCCTTTGCTTCTTGAATAATTTTTCAGTTATGTTGCTCCGGAATATGCCAATTCTGGCCTTCTAAATGAGAAGAGTGATGTTTACAGTTTTGGTGTTGTGCTCTTAGAATCAATTACTGGAAGGTATCCAGTGGATTATGGTCGCCCGCAGCCTGAGGTACGCTACGAACTTCTCTTTTTTCAAATGAATGTTGAAATTTTTCATAATATATATGCTACACTTGCTGTGGGACGTCGTTATGGGTACATGTCTGCTCATATTTAAAGTCTATAATTACAATGACATGAAATTGTGTAGACCATCATTATGCAGCTTTCTTTCAGACTATTAAGTTAACTTTGTCATCAATCAGACTTCATGTCATAATATGGAATGTCATAGCAGTCTCCGTGGCCTTGACATGATACCTTTGGTGGCTTTTGTAGGTTAATATGGTTGAGTGGCTCAAGATGATGGTTCAGCTCAGGCGCTCAGAAGATGTGGTAGACCCAAAGCTTGAGACTAGACCATCAACAAGTGCCCTTAAACGGGCTCTTTTGACTGCTTTGAGATGTGTTGATCCAGATTCTGACAAAAGACCGAAGATGAGTCAAGTGGTTCGGATGCTTGAATCAGAGGAATACCCTGTTCCACGAGAGGTTTGAATCTGTTCATTTTCTTCTTTAGAAAACAATACCCAACTTCACTAGAATAATTAATTAAAGACACATGGAAAGTAGTTTTTATTTTTTAACAAAAATAGATGGTGACTGAACACCATCACCAATTACTTGACCATAAGCTATGCAATATTTGACGTTTATTCATCTCTGAGTGGAACATTCTTAAGAGGGGAATTTATCTTGATATATAATACTTAGGATCGAAGACGCCGAAAGAATCAAGCTGGGGCTGCAGAGGCCGAGTCTCAGCGGGAGGGTTCTGACACTGACAGGAATGAAAATCCAGAAGCAAGGTTAAATACCGGAAGGAACCAGCGGGCTTAGGCTTTGACAAAGTCATTTATAGAGTTCAAGTATAAGCACAAGGATATATCTTACATTCTTTTGAATTTCCGAAGTCTCCAGACAGCCAGCCGCACAGTTGAGATTAAGGGCAGGGAAAGGATTGGGGATCTCAAATAGCCCATATGGTTTACATATCCCTGAGGGAGGATTAGTTTGTATCTCAAAGTGGCACTACTATAGGACACCGTCGCCATTGTTAGTGTTTACATTGTACAGGTCTTTTGTGGGGCTTTTTCTTAATTATTATTTTATATATTAAATTTTGAAAAATATAGTGTCTTTTGGGTTGTAGGTCTTTTTTCCTAGAGAGTGATTGTTAATGATTGCCCCTATTGGCAGAATAGGTAAAGAAAACTAAAAATTCAAATTTATTTTGAGTAGCAGAACATTTGAGTACTTTGTTTATCTCTATTGCCCCTTGATTGTTGTTTAGTTGGTGCCTGGTGGTTTCAACTTTCAAGCAAAGCTCATCATATTTTGTATGTGCCTTCCGAGGCAACATTAAGTAGGTTCCTTGTACTCTTTAAACTATACATATATACATCAGAAGACATCCAAGTCTGATCTCAGTTTTACCCTTTGTCATCTGAGGAATTTTGCAAGTTTACTTCAATTGTTATCAAGGAATGCAAATGCTTTGACGCTTGAACTAACGCAAAATTCTAAGTAAGAAATGCAGAAATTAACAGAACTCGGGGGATTTCTTGCATAATTGAATTTGTGGTAAAATTCAATGTTAAATACAGAAAATCCAGTAAACTTAAAAACTCTTGAGCAAAGACATCAAAATTACATCAGCTATTATGTATAGCACCCATTTACATAACAAATCTCAATGAATCAAAATAGTTTTGGGGTTGATTCACAAGTGTGATTTCAGTGGGGAGGACCGGAACGAGTGTTGAGCAGAGGCTGGAGAGCTTTGACAACTATACTCATATTTGGCCGAAAATCAGCTTCATATTGCACACACAAAGCAGCAACTGCAGCCATCTGTTTGGGCATGTACAAGCAAAGAACAGATTAGAAAGACTAAATGCAAATATCTGCCACAAATAAGTAATCACCAAAATGTAGAACTAGTTCCTGCTATAAAGTGCCACCGCCACCATACCGTTCAAATACTTGACAAGTATCTATGGAAAATTAAGCATGCAATATGTAAGTTATATGCAGTTATAATCATAAACTAAAGTTGGCAAAGAAATAAATATACAGTAATGCTAATTTGGTGTATTATTTTCAGTTGAAGTTACCATCTTCGGTACCTTTGCAACTGCCTTAGAAGGGTATTCTCCATTTAACTTAGCGTCAACGCATTGCTTCACCTTATCTTCACTGAGTTTTGGAGTGGCCTAAAACAATCCAGAATTGCATAAAATTCAGCTTGAATGAAGATTACACATACAAGAATTTGCTATCTATCAGTATAGAGAATAACAAAATAGAAAAAATATGTATGTTACAAAACAAGTTACTGGTAGAAAAGAACAAAGATGAAGTTCATACCCATGTCACAAGGCTTTGCTGTCCACGCGGCAGAGTATGATCAACAGGTTTCCGCCCAGTTAAGAGTTCCAGCAGGATAACACCAAAGCTATAAACATCACTCTTTGCACTCATCTGTCCTGTCATAGCGTATCTGCAATCCAAAATCAAATATTAAGGCAGGGAATGTTTATAGGTGCTTCAGAAAAAAAAATAAGACATAATTTTCCAAACCAAGGTTTCAAGTGTACACAGTAGTTCACTAAATAATCTTGTTGTTGATTGATTGTGGTATATACTATATATAGCAATTACCATACATAAATTGCATCACATTCCCATATTTAGGGTGCTAGCCTAGACTTGTTGTTTGTGAATGCTAAATAGTACACATTAAAATTATTTCTTTCTACTATTCATCTGTAGGTAAATTGTTTCTTATTAATCAATCTTACAAGTTCTTTGATCAATCCACGCATTTACCTCATCTTGCCTTTTATGTATCTAATTTGTGATTAGAACATTAACACATAATATAAATTTGCAGTCATTTTTATCATACAAAGATGCAGAAAGCAGAAAAGCACATATTTTGAAGAGTTTAAAAAGAGCTTACTCTGGAGCATGATAACCAAAGTTCCCAAGAACACGCGTGGAATTCATACGTGCTGTCATATCAGGTGCTTGATTTGACAAATCGAAATCAGAAATCTTAGCAACATCCTCTTCAAAAAGTAATACATTGCTCGATTTGATATTGCGATGGATGATACGAGGCTCTGCCTTTTCATGTAGATATTCAAGTCCTCTTGCTGCCCCAACAGCAATTTTAACTCTTTGCACCCATGACAAAACAGGACCTGGCTCTGCTCTTTTTACTCCTTTCTTTCCTATATTCATCAATCGAAAAATATTATATACGTAAATTGAGATTTTTTATTTCATAGGAAATTTTAAAAGCAATTTTTTTATGATCATTCAAAACGGTCTCTGAAAACATCATGTTACTGTTCTTGTAAACGAGTGTGTTGAGAACAACTTTTCTAGTCAATAAAAAGAAAAACAGGTTGCGGAAATAGAAAACAACATTGGAAAGGAGAACCAAGCATGTCCTTAAACTGTGATACGAGAGATGAAATCATTGTCAGGGCAATATTGAAGAAGACTTTAATGGCATAATAATTAGCAGAGAAAGAATGAGAGTAACTTTTTGGTTTCGAAAATTGAATATCATCTTCTATTCATCTCTCAAATTTGTTTGAAAGCACTAGACTTCCACAACCATCAATTACCAAACTTTATACTTAAACCAATTATGATATGCAAAGAAACCAGAATTCTCAAATATAAATGATCACCCCTCAGCTAGAAACACCTTACATGATTTAAAATGTCAATCCACAAAATGATCTTTATTGGTGTGGTGGCTAAGAGTTGAAAACATAGAAATAATATGAGACCACTTACCATGAAGAATGTCATGAAGAGATCCTTTAGAAGCATGCTCATAGACAAGGACACGTAGCGGGCCATCAGTGCAATAACCAACGAGCTCAACAACATTTTCTTGTTTAAGTCTTGATACCATGGAAACCTGTAAAAGCATGTGTGAACTATTAAATCCGAAAAAATATTTATAGCAACATAACAAAGAACTGAAGATAATACACAATAATAAGCCAAACCTGTGCTAGAAATTCCACGTCTGGTTGCTTACTGGAATCTAATTTCTTGATGGCTGCAGATTGCCCACTTCTCAGAACACCAAAATACACTCTTCCATATGAGCCCTCACCAATTAATGAGTCTGCACTAAAATTATCTGTTTTTTCCTTGAGTTCATCAATTGAAATGGCTGGGACAGCTATAGGTTGAACCTTTACTGCCTGTGTTTCCTTTGGGGCAGCTTCTTTCATGTAATAACCTCCGTTATTGCCTAAATGCAAAGCAGCTGATTAGGTTCATAATAATGAAACAAAAGCCATATTAGATGGAACAACAAGGTGATATATAAGAAACCAGAATGTGCCCTTCATTTTACTTGCTGAGTTATTTGGTACAAATGGTCCATTTTCAGAAACTTTATGAATATCATCTTCTCCACAACATCCGAAGCAGTTCATAATTCTTCCCCTCCAATGAAGTAAGCCCTGCGAAGTCAAACTTTGTTTTTAGCTGGCATAGATGGAGAAATGTTTCCTTGACACATAATTACTCCAAACAACAGCAACATAGAATTCAAGAATGCGCTATCAACTAAGAGAATTATTCGTTCAATCCTCTAATTAAGTTCCAAACACTCCAACAAGATCCCAAAATAACAAAGAGAATTGTCAAAAAGAAACCAATTTTGGTACTTGAGTTCATAAGGCATAATGTTAAGCCTCATAGATTAGTAAACCATGTCATTCTCTAGAAATCAAGATCACGATGCCTGAATCATCCAATTCAGAAACGTTTGTTGGATTCATATGTGACATGGTGGTTCAGATTTCATTTGGATTGCAAAGCAATATAACTCAACACTCCACCACATATTGTGATAAATATTTCCATAATCAACAAAAATTCATACCAGTAAACGAATCCAATATCAATTCAACACATGATAACTAAACTTTCCCAATTTTCATTATAAACAAGAGCCAAGTTTAATCTCATTCAGAACTTTGTCAGCAATCAATATAATCAACTCATACAAACAACAAAATACAACCCATAATCAAAACCACAAAACAAAAGATACCCACTTCTTAAAAAGATGATCAAAACAAGAAGAGAAGTGAAAATTCATACCTTTACTAGGTATTGCAAGAGTTGTTACACTAAAAATCTGACTGCGTCAACTCAAGCTTCTTATTTTTCTTGCTCTAAATAAGTTTCATTCACACTGCCAAAGAAAAAGTATAATATGGTAAATGACGATGGATGACAATAAGTGAGAGAGGTTTTAAAGCCGGCTAAGTTGCGCCAAAATGAGAAGAAGCAGAGAAAAGGAGCGCAAGATAACAAGATTCCATGCAAATTTGGGAACTTAGAAAATATCAAGGCAGTTGGTGTGTCTCTGTCCTCCGATTGCTTGACTTTTGTATTAGACAACCCGGAAATATCGACCCTTCCTTTTATAAGTGGTTATAGAATTGTCTTTGGTCTCCTCTTTTTTACGTTGTTGACTTCTCAATCAACAATTTTTATATTCTCAGATATTTGATATACAGTTTTTGATTTTGAAATACAGGAAGTGTATATATATATATATATATATATTATTGCATCGACTTAATAAAAGGTGAGTGATGAGTGAGTTTAGTTTAGTGGCATTACCTGCTCAACATTAATCACAAATAGTGTCTCATTCAGCTGGATTTAGCTGGCAGAGAATTTTTTCCCACTTGGATTTGTTGTTGGAGTGATTACCCTTTTTCATTTTATGCTCTGCATATTGCCTATTATCACAAGCAACAAACATTGTAAGACTGTCCTCTCTGTTGTCAATTATTTTTTGTCTTTGTAAGGACACGATATTAATTTGTTAGGCAAGTGGAAATGGGCTGGTGTGTTTGTCTTTGTCCATTCTTTCGGCTCCCATATGTTACGTCTAAACCCTTTGACATACACATTTGCAAGAATGAATCAGGCTGATGGATCTCAGTCTTTTTACAGTCACAACAGAGGTTTCACAGAAAGCTTTACTTTTATAAGCTTGAAGTTGAGCCGAATGGAGAGGCTAAAATTATTTATGTGCGGGTTTTTTATTCACATCAAATGGTCCTGTTAAGCTTGCTATTGATTCACGGGAATGGACTGGAGAAGCTGAAAGGGTGTTAGAGCCCACAAGGTCCACAACTGAACAATAATCTGCTGAAATTGGCTAAAAAATCAAAGGCCTTTTCAACACGGTCTCATTGCATTGGGTTTTTCCTCTTCTGATAATGAGGTGGGGGTGGACCCTCAGAAGCTAATGTTAATGGCTTGACTGACTCAAATATTTACTTGGGTCTTTGCCTACTATTACACGCAATAATGAAGAAACTACAAAAAGAGAGATCCGTTAGCCATTCTCAAGTCATGCGGTCCAAGAGTTGATTACAAGACTATATCTATTAACCAGAAAGGGACGTCATCAGAGATGGATTCAGAAATTTTTGTTAGGATAAAAACTAATTATATATTAATATTTTTATCTATTAATTTTTCTGTTAAGGTGGGCAAAACTTCAGAAATTGTACATATTAAAATTTTTTTAAAAAATTTGAGGATGAGCCATGACCCATCCTCAACTAGTACTCCTCTGGACGTAATGTTATCTCTGACCCATGGCATCTTAGCAAACATCAAATTTAATATCATTCCAATTAATTTTTAGATTATGGTCTAAAGGTTAGTTGAACTACGATTCAAAAACTATTAAAAGAAACGTAACGTTACCATCTTGTGACATGTTACCAGTTTCGGAGAGAAAGACTCTTAGAAGAGTAGAAGGTTAGGCAAATGATGCATCTCATATTTTATGTTGAATGAGGCAAAAGCGTTTGTTCTTCTGATTGAAGAATTGGTCATAGATGTTTTATTAATGGGTTCTTCTAATCTATAATATTTTGTGCAAGTCTACCTATAGATAAAGCCTATAACATCTTCTATAACTTGAGGTCCAAAGTGCTGATATTTTCAAAACTTTAAAGTCAATAGGGCAAGTAGCCAACCCTCCACCCCCCCAAAATCAGGAATCTTCCTCCTTTAGATTGTAAAAGTTTGTAAGACAAAATAAAGTTCAATAAAATATCATATATCAATTATTATAACACACAACAAATAATGCACCTACACTAACATGGTCCCTATTATTCCTAAACATATGATCACTAAACTAAAGTCCTTAATAAGATAGGTACATTATATATAAATATTGACTCCATGAATGGGAAAACGATACATACTTAAGCCAAATTTGACAAAATTTTTCTTGTATCGGTGGATTCGCATAAAGTTGTATGCTTTATAGTCTTGTTTGATTTGAACCCATATCAACTTTGTGATGTACTCAAGTCATATATAAACAAGACCTAATTTTGTTGTTATTAATGACATTTAGTAATGAAATTATGTTTATCACAAAAAATTCTTCGCTAAATGTCAAATGCCTTGTGGTATACATCCATTGGATGGATGTACATGTGTTGCACGAAAAGTTTTTGGTATAAAGATAGTCTTATCATGTAAGAAAGCTTCTTTTTTTTGCCTCCATTAATTTGCTTTTATAAACCATGAGTTCACATTCACATTTGCTTTTTCATATAGAGAGGGAGAAGCGAATGATGATAAAAAAAAAAAAAACAAAATTGGTTTCAACTTTGAAGACAGAGAGAAAGAGAAAGAGGTATCTCTTTCTTCCTCATTACTGTCAAATTTTGTCAATAATATGACACTATTTGCTTTCAAAATATCTCATCAAATAAAATATCTCCAAATCCCAAGTGAAGTTCAATTCACTTAATTTCTTTTTCTATGGGACCAATATATGATGATGTACTTAACAATACAGGGACTTAGATGCTACTTTTTAAACTCAATTATTTCATTTCTTTTTACTTAAATCGTGGATGTTTAGATGGAGAATTGAATTTGAGATTATACGTTTATCTATATTTTGTCCTAATTATCTGGGCTACCTACGAATGGGTATATTGATTATCTCTAAAACTAATTAATAATATGATAGTGAATATACTTAGATGAATGTTGCACATAAGAAGTATTTTTTATTTTTTTAATCATGCAAAGTTCTCCCGTGTAGAATATAGACAAAGGGAATTAATTCATATGCCATTTGAGCCCACAAAGGAAACATGAAGACCCCTCAGCTCAATCTGAGAGACAAGACAATATTGAGTGGTTGATGACAGTTGAAAAATCCAAGTTAATTAACTCCTGGAGCCTTTAATATAACATTATTGTATTATTTTATGATACTGTATTAAGAAACTGTTAGGTGAAATACTGATGAAGCTCATAGCTAATAAGAATCCAATATATAATTAATGGTAATGCATTGCATGGTTGCTTCCTTGTGGACATTAATGAAAAGTTAGGAGAAGGGCATTAAGATTTTGTGCAGAAACTTCACTGTTAAGTCATTGTCTGGGGCTTTTAGTTGACTGTATGATCTCCACCATGTGCAGTAGTAGTGGAGACCAGTGTTGAGAGATAGGATAAATGGACCATGAACAAGAAGGGGAAACAAAGACAGAAACTTTATAAGTTGAGAGGAGAGGGGTATTATTCTTAATTCACTTGGTCCATATTCTCCATCAAGCTCCATCCTCCATACCACTCACATGACTTGCCAACAATTCGGTCCGGGACCGCATCAAAATAACTTATATGGTTAGGGCCGCTGCTGGTTTTCTTCTCCCTTTGAACTCTCCAAATTCGGCGACCAATCGTGTCGTGCCACATAAATGCATATATATGTTTCATTTGTATGTGTGACTTACAAGTTTGCTTAGGTTATCTTAATCCCTGGTTTTACATGAACATCTTCTGGTTTTATTGATTCCTTAAATTATTTCTGGCTTTTTGTTTTTCGGTGAAAGCAACATAAAATTGTGATATGATAGCCTTGGAAGCTTAAAATCATTCATGATTCATGACCCAGTGAGTTATTTGTATCCCATACGTAATGAGTAGGGTCCAGAAGTTGGACATGGCTCAGTTTCTTGGCATCTACACGCCTAGTAATAAAGGATATGTTCTTATCCTCCTTTCCACGCTATACAGTACCAGAGTAACGTTACCTCTTCTAATTGGATCTTCATTCAATGGTTCAGATGGATGTAACGTTATCTTCGGGATCGTTACAGGTCTCGTACATCCTTTAGATTAAAGATCTCTCTCGTTCACATTGGGTACTGTAGTTGTTCCCCCTCTTGCCTGTTAATTTGCTCCAGCTAAATGCAACGAGAAAATGAGATGTAAAAGCTGGTGGGTCTGACCGCCTGCAGTGGATTTGGCTGGACATGGGTAAAAATTTGACTCATTTTGGACTCTCTCTTGTCACCGTCTACAGTTTGTTGCTAATGCTTCTCTTTACTGGTCACACGAATGACTACCCCTCAAAGTATTACAGTGCAATTTCATTAAGCAAAATTATGAAATAAGCAACAGGTTTTGTCCATTTTTGCACCAAAAGGGTGATTATCAGTTGTTGCAGTAACTCAATATATACATGTTACAGCAACCCATTTGATATTATCTTCTTTCAAATGATGATTTTATTCGATTCCAAGGAACAAGATTTGGTGACAGCTTGATGGTTGAGTTAATAAGTTTTGTAAGGATAAATCTCTTTGAAATGTGGCCTCTAGTTTTGGTCAAAATTGAAGAATCAGATCCATAATCTGATCTCCTTGATTTTCACACTGTGTGTTAGTCTGGCTTTTGTAAAATCTTCTTCCCATAATAAATATAATGCTCGTACGAGATTGAATGCAATCAAGAGAAAACTTGTCCCACAAGAGTTTAGTACCTAGAATTCTAAAAGGTTTAGCCAAGCCGCCTCCTAATCAAACAATTAAGAACCGTCATTAGCTATTGGTCCACTCAGACTTGGTTTAACTGAATTGTTTCAATCAACTTGTCCATATTCGTCACAAAGAAACCCAATACTTTTAAAAACTATTAAAACCCTCCGGGAAGGAATTTTTTTTGGTATTTACCCAATTTTTTCACCCCACCAATCACATGTCACCAATAAGCATCAAGGTTCAGGCAATCACCAACCCCAACAGGGAAAGTAGCAGTGGTGACATCGATATTTGAAACAACCCACACAAGGGTAAAACTAAGACACAAAGTCTCTGTAACTTTACCCAATTCAACGTAAATGTGTGTCAGTCAGTGAGGTGATTTATTCTGTGCAGATGGAGATTGACATAGTAAAACATTTTTACCCAAAGAAACAGACAAACTGTTAAGGATTCTAGCCAATACAGGGTGCACGCGTGGTGTAGGCCACCACCATTTTAGCATTCACAGTATGAGAGCGAGAGACACGGGGTGTGGGGCTTAGATTCCTAAAGGTTGCGTCAATAAAATAAACGAAAAGTGTACTACCCTCTCTCCCCACTCAAACCGCATTTATATCAAATTAACTCT